AGCTCTACTGTAAATACCTCATTTGAAGCTCTAAGTCACAAAGATTTTTTGAGTTTTTGAAAAATTTCATTAGAAGTCATTTGAAGCACTTTAACTCACAAATACAATAATGTTTAGAAATTGATGGAAATGTGCATATTAATAGCGTGGGAGATCTTTCAAAAAATTGCATTTGTGTAATTTTTGAAAAAAAGAAAAAAGACCCCAAAATGAACTTGTCACATTTAAGAGTGCAATTAGCACTATCCATTGAAAGAAAACATTGGGAGCAGTTTTTGAGAAATTGGCAATTGAGCGTTTCTGAAAATGCACAAATTTGAGCTAGTTTTCACAGCAAACTGTTGAGTTTTCAAGTAACTTTATACAACATTAGCTCCCAACATTTTTGGAAGTGTGATGCATGTAAGCGAGAAGTGAAGATAGAATACGGAAGAGGAAGGAAATATTGTGGTACATTTCTTAGGGTATTACTTTGGTATTTGCTTGGTGTTGATCGGAGCGACCACGCAAGAATATCGATCAAAGCAGCCAGTTACTAGAATTCTCCTCCAGTCAGGAACTGAATTTGATCTACCTATTCAGCTAGAGTCAAAAATCCTGCCAGTCGGGGACTCCAACTCTAGGACTCTAGTCAGAGGCACTACAGTGACATCAATCAATGCCCTGAGTTACCTAAGCTGGAGCAAGCCATTCTTAAGTTTGATGTTTTATCTTTCACCCAGAGGGGATATAAGCTGCTGGCACTTGGTGTCACAAAAGAGTTTCTAGACTTTCTATGTACACTGAGACTGCAGGTGGCCTCATGGCCCCTCATAAGGGACTCAGTTGAGGCTGGTACTCATGGTACTCAATGTGTTTGAAGTATCGAACCAAACAAACAAAAAAGCTACAACAGCAGCAACAACAATAATCATTAAATATATTCCTGGAACTATAACTAATTATAACACTTTTGGTTACAGTTTTTAAAGATGTTATTTCATGTACCTTGTTATTGTGGAGACACAGTTTGAGAAATTATTCTCAATCACATGAATGTCCTAGTTTTTGGATGCTATTCAAATTCCTCTAAAGTATAAAATAATCTACTTTTTTATTGGCTGTCTCGGGCAGAAAAGTGTCTACACTTTTGCAATTCTTTAATATAATTTTTTTGATTTATTCATCTAAAGTACTCGGGTAATGTTTTCCAAAATTCTGTAGATAAGATCTCTACAGTGCTAGGAATTCTGTTAATATGGAGGTTCTTGCCCTGGCTAGGAAGGGAATCTCTATAGTACAATGAAATTCAAAATTATGTATTAACTCAATTGTTTTACAAATCAAGAGGAAATAGAAAGACAAAGGCTGTCCAAAAAAGGAATGGAAAGCAAGAACTCCTCAGCAGTGACAAGACACTACTGAATCAAAGGAACAGACCACTGAGTCTAGCCCTATATGAAGATTTATTTAACCATGCACATGACGTAAATCAGTTGTTCGTTGTCTCATCAAATAGGGAGCTTGAACGTCCTCTGAGTGACATAAGCTCACAATTGGATGAAATCACGACTGATTTACGTCAAGTGCACGACTAAATAAAGCGTACTATAGACAGTTTATGTTGACGACATTAAAACTATAAGAAAACCTTTTGAAGCATTTTGAATCTGAAAACAACATGCTTTGAAATAAAATAAAATAAGAAAAACATTTTGTTACATGAAACCATAAAATTATTTGGAATGATTTCAATGCTTGTTATATGCAAGGTATCAATAGACAATTTCATTAAAATCCAAAATTTACAAATTACCAATCTACTTCGCCATTCATTAAACAACTAAAATATTACCAATTAAATAAACATCTGACTGCGAGAGGAGGCTTGGACATATGAATTTTATTTTAATTACTTCAATTCTAATAAAAAACAAGGAATACGTAAAAATAAAAGATCATACATAAACAAACAAACAACTAACATTTGGATCAAATCTGAGTGATGTAGCCGTCAGAAAAGCCGCTCTTCCATCACTAAGAACTACAGCAAACCCTCCTACCAAAGGAGAGTATTCAATATCTACCACATATACATTCTCTTCAAGGATGGGCACAGCTGAAAGAACAAGAGAATAATATGTAATAAAAAGTATTTAAATAAAATTAACACATGACAGAAGCAAATCTCTAATAATTACTACTAACCTTTTGAAACTTGCTGGTCAACACAAAAGGGCACCCGTTTCAGGTCTAGACAGTAATCTCGATTAAGGGAGCCATCCCACCGATACCTGAATACTCTACCACATGAAGATGCTATCATTAACTCATCTCGGATGCAGACAATACTGGTAATCTCTCCTTCCACAGGTGTTTCGCTGTCCTGAATTTTACAAACAATAACACAAGCAACATCTACATTATTAATTTTTTTTTTGAATCAGCAAAATGATAATAATATATGTTATGTAAAGTAAGTTGCAATATAAAATTTACCACTAAGATTTACTAGTATATACATCATACAATATTTTCTGATTATCTCTTATTTAACTCGAAGTTAAAGCAATTATCTAATAATGTACCAGATTGTTACAAAGGACATTCAATAATTAATGAGACAAATGGATGTAGAAGGAATACAATTTATTTAATGTTAATGAAACTTTTTGAGGGTTAAGTTGCCAACCTTGGGGAAACATTTATTTAGCCGTTTAATTATAATGACTGAAAACAAACTCTTTTACTCATTTCAAAATGTTAGCTCCACTTGAAATATGAATGGAAGAAACGAAAGACTTTTGCTATCCGCATTACATCCAAGGAAATCCCTCTTGGGTAAGAGCGGATTGAGATTTATATCAGTTTGTTGAAATAAATGATTATTGGCTTATTATTAAAAATTATTATAATATTCTAGAGCTGTGTGAAAATGAAATACAAATATATTTCCTTTACTACTACTCTTCCAACTTTCCACCCTGCAAATTGGGCTATTCCATCAATTAAATAAATTAAAATTTGAGCGATGCTTACCAATGATAGGTGCAACGGTGGCACTACTTCTTTAATAAAAAGCTCTGCACTGTCACGGCGCAGATTAGGATTTGGGGAGTCAATTTGTTCATAGAGGCTCTTCTGATCTGCTATTACTCCCAGTTTATATAGAAGTAAGTAGCCTTTTACAGTCTGAAAGCATTAATTCAACATACAATTTATACTCAATCACATTAAAGTACATCACAAACAAACATTAAATTTCCATACGCACAGCAACAACAAGCATGCTGGAATCAGGTCTCCATTCCACCAAAACATTTTTTCCAATGGCATCAACCGATTCATGTAATCGCTGATGAAAAACTATGGGTACACATGGCTTAATGGAAAAGAAATGAAGAAAATCAAACATTTATACCACAATTTTGATCATCTAATTCACAAAACAACTTTGTTTCTTTATTATCACAACTAACCTTGCAAAACCATATGTACAAAGTGTTGTCAGTAAGAATGGCAAACAGTATTTTGTCCCTATTGCAAACAACTTTACGTATCCTAGACTGGCCTAATTCAGGAACATTTAATTCTTTCGGCCAACCAATGGGAAAATACATAATTTTCTTGCAGTCAAATCCGGCTCAAACCAAATGAATAAAATTAACTTTGACTATTTTAATCATACTGCAACTCTGTCTCACAATAGACAGAAAAATACACAATACATTTTAAATTATAATGTTAAACAGCAAGTAGCTGATCTAATAACAATCTTCTGATTGCAATGAACACTTCAGTTTTCACGTTACTGTGACAGACGAAACACATTCCTACGTTTTATTGATATTCAACACACTTTCACAACGAACCGTCGAACTGTCATACAGAGGAACACAATCTTGAGCACTAGTTTTTTCTTATACCTAAACCCTTAAGCTTTCAATTGAGTTAACCTGGACGGGAACGATAGGTCAGAAGCACGTCAGGGGGACGGGACGGATGGGACGTGGGAATTCGGAGAGATCGAGCGTTGCCAACACGCAATCGGGCTGTCAAATGCTCTTCGCGCAGCTGATTGCTGAAGCTCTGGCGTAGGGAAAAAGTAACCTCCTACAACACGAAACCAGCTTTGTTTTCTGCATGACTCTTGCAATTTTTCAAGCAATAAATTTATAACATTTGAATTCAATTTTTCGAGAAATATTTGTTCTGACAGAAAGGAAGAAGTAAAACAGAAAAGGTGACCTAACTTAATGGCTCACAATTGTCATGTTTCAATGTTGGCAATGGACTTTCCAAAGGTTTCGTAGCTATATTGCGGAGCTGATTAGAGCAGATTGCGGAGATTCTCTTTGGTTGACAGTTGCCTTGCGTGTAGGCTTCTGCAGGCAAACAACTTTGGGTGCTCTGTGCAAGCTTCGGCTACAAACGTCATGAACACACAGCCTTCGACCATGAACGACAATTCAGTCGTCCATGCCCCATGCTCACAGATATTCCCATATGAGACACCGGAACTGAAAGGGAGGACACACTCAAAGAAAAATTTCCCTTCCCATATCCCAGCCTTATCCCTCACCTCCCCCATCGTCCAGACATCCAAACAAAATAATCTTTCACTCACCCAGATTCGCGATCCCCGACCTTGCACTGGCGAGAGGAGTCTCAAACATAAAATTACTAAATTAAAACGTTCCCAGAGTGAAAAGTTCCCAAAAAAGGGACACGTACTTCTGAAAACACACACACAGTGGGCAGTTCTAAGTTGGAGACGAACATTAAACATCCTTCAGACTGTCCAAAGCATAATTACTAACATATACCTTCATTAAAATACATAGGCAAAAATTAAAACTAAAGCAGTTTATTACTAATTAAGAAATAGGTGAAGGCAGTTAGATTCTTGCACATTTTTAGAAAGGCTGCGAAAAAAAAGTTTAATTTTGAACTCCCGCTTAAATGTTGACAATAATCGTGATTGGGACATACAGAAGTGGATGTGGGAGTATGGGAGGGGAAGACGACCGTCTACACTTTGATTAAAATACTCAGTCTGTTGACACTTCGTTAGCTGTAACGTTGTCATCCAATCGAGAACTTGGTTGTCAGTTGTGACACCGGCACAGATTGTCAGAGGACTGAACATTTTAATCGAAATATAGTCGATAGTAGCGCTCTTGGTGGATGCGGGTGTCGTTTGATCTCCCACTCTCTGAACATAGGTCCCATGTCATGGGGAGGTCATGGGAGTGATCGCTTTATGCATTGGGTGATGTCCGGGTAGTCTGTGTTTTAGGGTGTAACTCGGGTTAATTTTATGATGGCAAGTTTGGCTTTTAACATTGAACCATTATGATTTAATATAATGTTGGAAATAATGGTGCTGATAGAATTTCCTTCGAGTCAGGGGTGTATATAGGTGTTTGGAACCTATTTACTTTAATAAATTGAACCGATAGTTTAGAATAAAACTCAAACCTTTGTTTTGTTGCAGAACTTAATATTATTACACTCTGCGTTTTGGGGGGCGTGATAAACGTTTTAAAAAATGTAATTGAAAACATAATTTCTTGATGCTGTTTTCTGTGAAGTTATATTTTTGTTGCAGTTTTAAATTTGGGAAACCAGATCTTGACCACAGAATGGCATCTGATGGAGAACTCAAAGTGACCAGTCCTGTTGAGAGCATTGAAGCACTGACAAAAGAGGCAGAAAGTTTGAAGGCCAAACTAGAAGAGGAGAGGCAAAAACTTAATGATGTAGCTTGTACGTTTGTGTGCCAATGTGAATTTTAGTTATCTAGATCTTGTGAATCTGATTGTTTGTAATCTTTTATATAAATGTTCTAGTATCAACAGTAGCTGACCGCCTGGAAGTCATCACTTATTTGAACATAAAGCCTCGGAGGGTTCTCAAGGGACATCAAGCAAAAGTATTATGTTCTGACTGGTCACCTGATAAACGACATATTGTTTCTTCTTCACAGGTTAGAAATCTGTGTGTATCACTAAATAAATTATATTTAGCAAAATTTCTTCAGTATTTGAATTGGTTGTTTTATTATAGGATGGCAAAATGATTATTTGGGATGCTTTTACTACTAACAAAGAACATGCTGTTACAATGCCAACCACTTGGGTCATGGCGTGTGCTTATGCTCCCTCTGGAAATCTTGTTGCTTGTGGGTAAGTATAATGTGATTTCATTTGTTATTGCTTCATCTCTTAAAGACTTGTCTCATAGAAACTTTAAAATTTGTAAACGTAGGAAGATAATTTCAGCGGACACTGTTGGGGGTTCATTACAAAGAGAATATTGTTTATTTTTAGTGTTTACATGACTCTATGCTAATCACGATGTGTTTATTAACAACTAAATTTTAAAAACTACCACTTTTACAAGAGGCTCATTTATCTTGTGTCGTCATTTCAAGTACTAAATATTGTATGGAAGTGGTTTAAACCTTTAGATTGCTGCTTGGGTAAAAGGGAAATCCACAGTGGAGGGGATGATCGAAAGTTAGGTTTTGAGGAGTAGCTGTCAATATGGCAATGACAGGGGATATTTGACGTTGTATTATCTACAGAGTTCTGTGTTGTTCATTGTGCAGCATTATAAAAATTTTAAATGTGATGAAAGTGCAATATGGTGGCACAATAAGAAGATGGATTTCAATAGTAACAAAGTGAGGGTTTTCATGAAACTAATAAAAGATATCTATATTTACCATTAATAGATATACAAAGTGAATTTTCCTAAAAGTATTATCTCTTAATATGCGTTGGTAATTATGCATTGCACAGACTCAATGACTCTTTATATTAATCATGAGGGCCGAAAGCCTAAGCCTTGTCCTCAGCTTAGAAGTGTGAACTTGATGTAAAAGTAATTTGGCATGAAAACACCAGTGAAATTGTGTGTGTGTGTGTGAAGTGTAATAATACATAAATCTAGTTATTAATGATGAAAGAAAATATACAAACACCTTCCTAGATTTAACAACTTTAATATCCCATGATATTGTATGATTCATGAAAATGAATAACAAATAATGGTCGCAAATCTGCAAATTTGTTTTCCTTATCCACTCTTCGAATCCACTTTTCCAGATGTTGATAATACTTGAAAAAAGATATGTCCGAGATAGGTTTCGTCCTGTGATAAAACCTGGGATTCTATGCAAGGTAGTTATAGCTTTAGTATCAAATAATACAACTTGTTTCATCCGTTTAAAACTAATTGGGTTCTGGTGTGCCTCTTGACAAACATTTTTACGTGTTGTTTCAATAGCTGCTAAAATCTCAGCTTCTGTGATAGATAAGGTAACAAGATATTATTTGATTATACCAACTATTGGGTACACTAGAGTAAAGATGGTACACCTGAAGTCTAAAGTGTGTCACGTTCATCTCCATGATATGTATCACTCTAGCATCTGAATGTATTTTTGTTAATATCTCTTCTGCAGATAATTGTAAAGTCAGCATCCTGCTTTGAAATTCAAATATTGAAAAAATATGTAAATGTTGACTATAGCATGTTCTGTTGACTTCTCTAAACTTTGAGAGACTACTAATATAGCATCACGCAATATTAGGCCTCGTTCCACCATAAGATTCATTAAATCATCAACAACTGATCTGAAGGTTGCCTAAATCCCCCTCCCCTCCATAAAAAAGTTAAATAATCCATTTAAATGTCTAAATGACTTTTTGAAAATTATTTAAAATAAAATAATAATCTTGAATCATTGTGTTTATTGAAATATTAATCAAAACTCACATTTAATCACCACAAAATCAAACAAACAAATATGAAAAATAACACAAATTCAAAATTTACAGTAAAATGCAATCTTATTTCGCTACTGTGCCGTTTGTCATATGTTCGTAACTTTATTACCCAAACAATAATATTAACTAAAAAAATTGTTACCATTAATGATTTGAAATTCTGAGGGAGGGATTAATCCTTGGAATCACTGTATATCACGGACAAACTGAATGTATATCAGTTCAAATTCAAAATATAGTTCTGTTCCAATGGTAAAAATAGGTATTTTATGTGAACTAAATTAAAAATGTAATATTCCAATAGCATCCTGTAAATATCCACTGGGTCTTTTTTCTCTTTTTTACCCAGTAAATAAAATTACCTACAAGTTTGAGCAAGTGAGCTTCAGCCCTTTCAAAAAACACATTTTCCCCCAAAAATGTGTAAAATATAACCATGTTTTGCATATTCTAATCAAATTATAATACACAAATTATGACACAGGTAATATTCATTTTGTCAAAAATCTTAATATATAAAAAATGGTTGGTGGATGTGTGTTTGATGTTTGTATTCTAGCATAACTCTGTAACCTAGGAGCAATATAATTTCAACCAAACTTGATACACACATTTCTAAAACGAGGGAAAATAATACTGTGGGAGTAAGACACCGTTGGCACTCCTAGAAAAGGATTTGGGAAAACAGTGGCATTTACATCTGTGTTAACAAGACATTAGTATGCAAATCTCTGTATGGAATGCAGGCAATGAAGGTTAATGCATCTTCATTTGGACTTCACTCAGATGAAGTGCACATTAGCCAGAAGGAAGTGGCTAGAGTAGATGAAGTATGTTGTGGTGACAAGAAATGACAGATATGTGGTAAACGGGGATGGACTGTTGAGAAGTTTCTAAGGTTAGTGATAGTCAAGGTGTGTAGTTTGGAGTTTCATTGTACCATTGTAAATTTGTATTTACCCAATTCCACCAAACCTAACATCACTATACCTCAGTTGACACTTCATTACACATTTCTAAGTTAAAACAAGGCTCTGGTCTTCAACCATCTTGATTTATATTACACAATCTTCAGTCAGTGCAACTAACAATGTGCATAATATCCAACACATGTATGGATAATGTAATAATGAGCTGAATGTAACTATTACTTTCTGGAATTAATATGAATAGGATTTAACAACATGCTGAAACTTTTACTTGTTGAAGATAAGCAGATTAAGGTGTAATTACCACAGAGATCCCAATCTCCAAGAGATGTGAGTTAGGGTGCAGTTGCACTGATGCCCTCATATGTAGACACCGGATTTTGGGACAAATGCCTATATAGTTCCTTTAGAATGTAATGGAATGTAATTACAGATGTTTACGAATCCTGAAAAAATAGATCAACTAAAAGCATCTAAGAGTGCCTAAAATGTCTTAAAACAGGGATTGGTACATATTTTAATTTTTTTTTTTGCCTAATTTCTTGTGTGTATGTGTATTTGTTTCTTCATGATATTCCATTATATTATTGTGCTTGTATTATATTATTGTCATATTCACTCTCAATCACTTAACTATGGCCAGCTATTCCCACCATTAGGCATATGAAGTTTGAAATGAACCGTGCATCTGGACTCCACCAGCACGTATCAAAGTTGAAACCACCACGTTATTGCAACTGCTGTATATTGGTTGGTGTTAGGTTTAGAATAACCTGTTTTGCACAGAAGTCAAATGAAATTTTATCTTTAAAGTTGGTTTGAATGAATTTTTGAACAGGACTTTCAGATTAAAGAGTGAAAAAAAGAGAAAAAAAAATATTAAAATTTTTTAAAAAAAACAGAGGATTTTGGAATAGGGATAGCATAGGGTCTGAGGTCAAAAGCTTAGAAGTTGTAACCCACGCATTGGTATATACAATGTATCAAAAGAAACCAGTGATTTTAAAAAATGGCACAGACTTTCCCATATTAGTTTTTCCTTTTTCTTTTGATCTCGGTTAGCTATTTGGACTTGCCACATACCCTTGCCACCTGCCATCTGTTGCCACTGAAAGAATGTTTTCCAAAATCTCAAAGCTTTGACTTGAGCCAGATGGACTGGGGTTTCTTCAATTTGGAAAATATTGTACGTATGATATAGGTGTTAGTGGTGCTTGCAAACTGTCTGTCCAATGTTTTAATTTAATACAACTCTTTAAACTCAGTATGTTAAAAAAAATTAAAAACCACCGATCACACACATTTTTAAGCACTGAACTCCGTTTGTCAAGCCGCTCTTCTCTTTTTGCTGAAAATTCATGAAACTTCATTATTTACGATACCAGTTCAATCTTTTTAAGATTGGTCTAGTGGCTTTTCCAGAATGCTAAGAGAGTCAGTACATTTTTATTAGCATTCTGAAATTTTTGTTGCTAATTGTATTATATAGAGATAATTATTTATTATTCTTTCCAAAATATAAAGTAAGGAATATATTTAATTTTTTGAAAGGCAAGGAATAAAGAGAATGAACTTAGATTATGGCCTTGTGTATAACCCCTAATTATGAATGACTAGGCTATGAAACTAATAAGAATTGATTTTGTTCTTGATTGACTTGTATTTAGTTCTAAATGTGAATCCATTTTTTAAGAAACAGAGTTTTTATTTCAACAGTTTTTTATTTCAAATTTCTTTGAGGTTCTAATTCTGGAGTAATTCTGAACTTTCATTGATTTTTTTCTTGCAGAGGCCTTGACAACAAAGTGACTGTGTATCCACTCAGTTTGGAGGAAGATGTGTCAACCAAGAAGAAAACAGTTGGCACTCACACAAGCTATATGTCTTGCTGTACATTTCCAAACTCAGATCAACAGGTATGTTTGCAGAACTCTGTAAGTAAATTGTATCAAGTATATTTGAGTTGGTTTCAAATGTAATTGTGTTCTGATTTGGATGTAAAAGTGATGAATGCTAGTCAGTTGTGATTTCAGGATTCCTTTTCAACATTAAGTTAAAATCATTCACAATGAAATTGGACTACTCAAAATCAAATTGAGACCTAGTACAATCAAATGAAACCAATCACAATTAAAGTGAGAACAAACTCTTAAAAATAGACAACGATACTCTTAAAAATTTTGAACAAACGCTTTATTTGAGAGTAGACGGGGTAATTCATGGTGGAACAAAGCAATTAAAATTGAGAACAAATGGGGGAAGTAAAAAATTATGTAAATGTAAAACTTGTGAACTTTTATTGGTTTATTGAGACACGGAAAAATAATTAAAATTCAAACTTTATCATTTTCTTCTCTTTTCTGCTTGTCCTCTTACTCCTCATCAACCTTTTTACTTTCTTGCTCTTACTGTGTAAGCAGAGATAAGTATTGTAATTGTGTGTCAGAAAATGGAATGTTTTCAGCAGAAAACTAATTGCTGGGACCTGGTGACGAAAAAGGGGAGAAATCTTATTGCTATATTAAGTGAAATACTTTCTCTTAACACTTTGTGTAGTCAGAATCCATATTTTGTAGCTCCTTGATATTAAAAAATAAATTGACGCCAAAATGTCTTTATGTCCATCTATTGGTGAAGTTAGCTCTTAAACCGTTTAGCTGATTTTCTCTGAAATTGAAATTTCTCTATCAATTTACACGAACTTGAAGCCCTCTGAGGGCTCTTTGAGGATACATTACATTAAGCTTCCAAATTTTCTTGAAAAGTCTCCAATTTTTATTTTAATTAACTTTGTCCTCAGATAGTGTAAAAAATGCTCAAGAGATAGGTGCAGATTTAATTTTTGTTTTTTAAATCTCTGATTTTTCGAAAATTCACATTTTTGCAAAAGTTCACATTTTTTCCTTAACAACTACAATATTGAAGATAGACATTTTCCCCCCTGAATATAAAATCTCTTTGTTAAATGAAATAGATTTCAAAAAATTATATTATTAAATAATGCAATTTTTGAAGAAGAAAAAAAAAGAAATAGTTTTCATGTAATTTTTGCTTGAAGTTAATACAATTTATAATTTGTTTTCTCAAAACAACTCTAAATTTTTTCTTTACATAAAGGACTTTTAAAAAACGGCTTAGGGTCATGTTTTCATTGAACTCTGAATTTTCAAGACTTGTGTAAGTTAGAAAAATAATAATGCAATGGGACCATTTGTTTTTTAAGCATTGGAAAAGCATCTGATCATAGCTATGGGAGTGGTGGTGAAGCAGTAATGTGCTTAACTTGTTGACTTGAAGAATCTGAGTTTGAAATTCAGCACAGAAAAAAAAAATTGTTGGTTAGAAACATTTTTGTAAACAGGTTGTAGTAATATTGTATAGCTATTAAAAATAATTGGAGAAAGTATGTGCTGGTGGAGCTCTGCTAGATTCAGAGAGGCAGCAGTATTAGAAGGAAACAATTTGCAATATTATAATACTGTATAAATGTTATGAATAATACGAGAAATTATGTGTGCGTGTAACAATGTCAATAGCTACTTGGAGCCCCATTACAACATTCAATTTAAATACTAAAATGAATCGTAATTTTTTCTTACGACTTGATTGAAGGTGATATAATTTTGTGCAGATACTGACAGGGAGCGGTGACTCCACATGCGCTCTTTGGGATGTGGAATCTGGACAACTTCTGCAGAACTTCCATGGTCATGCGGGAGATGTAATGGCTCTAGACTTAGCTCCTTCTGAAACAGGAAACACCTTTGTGTCTGGGGTGAGTGACAATGCTTACAATTTGGCGTTTTAATGAGTCCATCACATCAATCCAGAGTATATATATATATATCCACAATCCTTAGCAAGAATTGTGCATGAAATACAGCAAAAATTATGATTACCATATTCTTGGCTTATTCCTCTTTAATCATAAAATAACTTGATTTAAATGGTAGTTTAGTTCAACCCTAACTTGACTGTGTGTAATAAGTTTTGAATTTGCGTTTTGTGATTTTTTCACATGCCCTTTCCTTGCTTGGAGGATGTGCGAAGTATCTTACGTGTATGCCCCAATTGCCAGAATGTTTCTTCAGCCAATCACAATTTCTTTAAACATTGTCCAATCTCTAAATTAAAGATTCCCTCTCTTTTTCTATCATCAACCTCTTTTGAAAGAATGATTTGCTTCAGTGGCCCCCTTGAATTTTTCTTTAAAGGTGTCCCAAATCAGGCAGAAAAAAATACACCAGCATTATAATTTGCATGTTCTTAACATTTTTAGTCTTTAGATTTTTCAAGAAATTTTCTAATTACAAAGATGTAGGCAATAATTCTTGGTTACATTCTCCATTATAATTTTATTTGACTCCCTTAATCAGAGTATAAGACAGAATATCGCCAGAATCCATGTTTTTTGGGACCTTGGTACTGAAAAATTGACTGACGGCAAAACATCTATGTCCATCTGAGTGTCTGCGGTCGATCCTAGTGCCTAAACTGTTCAGCCGATTTTCTGCAAAATTGATATTCCCCGATTGATCTGATTGAACTCAAGGCTTTGGGAGTTTCAACCAGGTATTTTGATTTTTGACAGTATTTAACATGAAGCCTCAATAACAATTTCAAAAATTTCTGTGAAATCGCTCCAATTTTTTTTTAATTTTAACTTTGTCCTCAGATAGCATAATGGATACTTAAGAGAATGTGGTGTGGGTCTCTTGTTCATTGAATTTCCAGATATTTTTGAAAATCGCAAAAATGCAATATTTGGGGGCGCCTTCGTACAGCTCTAATGAAGATAGATATAAAGAGACATTATGAAGACATCTTGAAATAAGATCATATTCATTGTTTTGGAAATATTTGCGGTTTTCATGTTATTTCCGTGAAGTATAACTAATTCATTTTTTAATAATTTTTTCCTCAAAAACTGCTCTAAATTTTGTCTTTCAATTTTCTGTTCATATGTATCATGAGTCTATAATAAATATGGTACTGGACCCATTTTCTGCGAACTCTATATGCAGCATGTGTAAATGAATCTCAATATGCGCACGTTTTATTGAACTCTTCTTTTGCTTGTAATGGTAGGAGTAGAGGTAATGGTGAGTTACTATTTTGTTAGCAATGCAGAAAAATCATACTTGCATTTCGTTTACCAATGCAAATAAGTTTTCTACATTTCAAAACAAAAATGTCTATTTTAATTCAAATATTGCTAATCTCGCCCTTTTTTTAAAACTAATTTTTTTTTATTTATTTTAAACTTTTACTCATCTTTCAGAATTTTTTAAACTATTTTTAAGAAAATAAATTAGGTATTTGAATCTAATGAATGTTGACCATTGAAATTCAATAATGCGACAAATAAAAATCATTTCTTTATTTGTAATGAAAATGTCTAGAAACTGCAAATGTAAATCAGTACAAATAATTACACAAATTAAAAAGAGGATTCTGAATGAATGCGTAATGCGAGAAGAAAATTTGTATCTAAATGTGCAAATAAAATCCTGAGGGATGCTGAATGTTAAATTTACAGAGCTACAAATTATTTTCAAAACTAAATTGAATTTTTTTTTTTACTAATAACATTATAACGTCCCAAATGCTGGAATTTAAATATTTTGTCTTGCTTTTTCTTGCTCTGTTGGTGACTTCAACACATAGTGAATCCCTATTCCCACAACAGAACTATCTTCTTCACTTCACAACAGCCACTCACACAATTGATGTCTGAGAGTTTGTGTTATAGCTGAGTAATAACATTTTGATCAGAAATAATTTTCCAAATTCTCTCATTAAAACTGATAGACACTTTGACAGATATTTACTAAAACTGGCAGAATACACACAAAGTTTGAAGTTATTGTGAACATTTTCGAAGCAATTATAGTTTTTGTCGTGTCTTCATCTAGGCTCCTACTCAACAAGCTTTTGCACTTTTTGCAAGGATGCAAGTCCATAACATTCTTTAATACATAACCAAATACATATTGCTTGGCATTAATTTCTGCGAATTGCGAGCTCTATGCATATGCATCCCTAACTAGCAAAACATTAGGCTGAGCTGCTCTACATACATACACTGTGATCCAGGGGCAGATCCAGCCAATCGTTTTGGGGGAACATTGTATATTATTTGTGTGCTGTAGATATTATTCTGTACAATATTATTGTTTAAATAATTACAAAATTTGAGCATAAATAAATATTTAAAACAATTTTCTCGGGAACACTCTTGGCAATACCAATGCATTTACTAATATTGCTTACGCCTGGCACTTGACTGTCCTGTGTGCCATTTGAATGCAATGTTATTGACTTAGTGTTTCTTGGCGAACAAATGAAAAATATATGACCGACAGTTTCATTTCAGAAAATAAATATTATTGCCATTTTTATAGAGCTGCGATCGTATGGTGCTGATTTGGGATATGAGAACTGGGCAATGTGTCCAGTCATTTGAAGGTCATCAGTCAGATATCAATAGTGTCAAGTTTCATCCCAGTGGTGATGCTGTTGCTACAGGATCAGATGATTCTACTGTGAGTTTCTTTGTACCATTATCATAATTTTAGTTATTTTTGTCATAATTGAAGTTATTTTACTGTGTATTTTAATACAGAGTATCTGTTAAAGGTTTTGATAACAGTTTAACCCTTAATATTTCAACATTTGCTTTTGAGACTACTAGCATTGTGAATGTGACAAAGTGAACAATATTTGTCTCTGAGTTGTGATACTGAGCAATGTATGCCTCTCAGAATGATGTAAAATAAAAACATGGGGGATTGTGAAAAAATGTTACTAGTTGAGGTTTAAAAATGTTCTGTCCTCTCTTGACATCAAAACTGGATTCAAATGTAAAAATAAAAGTCTGAATTTACAGAACCAATATAATAAACATGGGTATAATAAAGACATTGTAAATTTACAGTGTCGCCTCTTTGATTTGAGAGCTGATAAAGAAGTTGCCATCTACAGCAAGGAAAGTATTATATTTGGTGTTAACTCCGTTGATTTTTCTGTGAGTGGTAAGTATATGAATTGCTTTGATATAAATGACTTTTTCAATTCTATCTACTATTTTCTATATATTATAGCTATTTCATAATATTTATTTACTCTTCATAAAAGTGTATGAATGTACCAATTAAAAAAATGCCATTTACGTATACATTAATACAGTGATTAAATTTATTTTAGCGTAATAAATTTAAAGTAACTAAACTTTTTTTGGTAACTACTCTCCAATTAATAATTTGCATGAAGTTAAATTTGATTAGAGATCATGATGTTCATTTCTAAAGAGTAAAGGGAAGCTTTCTTGTATTGTCCTTTTTATCTTTCCTCTTTCATAATGACATGTTATTTTTGCAGGGAGATTACTATTTGCTGGTTATAATGACTACACAGTTAATGTATGGGACTCTCTAAAATGTGTACGTGTGACTCTACTGTATGGCCACGAGAACAGAGTCTCGTGCTTACAGGTTTCTCCTGATGGAACAGCTTTGTCCACAGGTAGTTGGGACTATACATTACGGGTAAGTTTGCTCTGAAGGCCAGTATAAGAGCTGTTTCTGTGATTACAGACCCTCTCTATTCACAAATCCGCAACAAAATCAATTGACTCCAACTAATTCTGGAACTATGTATTGATGTATTCTTTCAGAGTCCAACCTTGGTTCGGGTCTTTCAATTTCTAGTGCTTATTGATAGCCACTCAGTTTCATATTGAAACTAAATATTTAATTGTTCTTTCACTATTGACTGACATCATGGTTTCATATTGACCTCACTCTAATTTTGAAGTTGGATATTCTGCAGTTTTTGCAAATGAGAACATGAGTATGTTGTCTATTACAAAATCACATTTCCCTTTTTTGTGCAAAGCTTTATTGATTTTCATATAGTTTTTGGCAAGGATACAAACTGAAACATTTGTTGGGACCAGAATGGCACCAGTACCATTGCAGTTATGCAACTATTTTGAAATGGGGTTTTCAAAAGTAGTGCCCAGGAGTCTAGTTGAATGCAATAGCATTTATTTTTAATTTTAATTAAGTGTAACAAAAAATGATAAAACTAAGTAAATAAAGTTTTAAAATTTTTACAAATATAAGAATGTAGTTCAACTTGAAACAATTTTTTCATGGTATTCTCATTCACAAAAAAAGCAAAATATTAAATTAAGTTTAAAACTATTAAATTATCATATTAACCTAAATATCAGTCGACTGAATATATGTATCCCTAATTTTGAAGAGGCCTCCTGATATGTTTTTATGTTTTTTAAATGAATTCTTACTATATAGTTGATATAAAATTGCAAAGTGGCCCAACTGACTAGAAAATTGTCTTGTTGATGAGATTATTAAAATTAAGTCGTACTTGAGCTCTCAATATTTTCCTTAAAATCATCTTAAATTTGGGTTTTGTCACTTTTATCTGCACATAAAAATCATTCTTTCTTTCTTTCTCCGGGTTTGTCTGGACTTATTGTTTTCTTATAACTATGGCGCCTATATGGGCAAATAAAAGCAACAAATTTGGTGTGTACTTTTCTTTAAGTCTTAATCTATCCGCAGATGCGGAAACCTTAAGTACGTATCCTCCCCGATTGTTGTCTTCTTCAACAGTTCGGCAAGAATAATGCCTAAATTTGGATTAAAATTACTCCTACGATTTATATCACACTGGCTTGCTTATTTTGATGAAGAGCACACTCAATACAGCACATTTGATATTAACTTGAACATTGCCGAAATTGGGTAATCGTATGTTCATCGGTTAGCCTATAGAAAAGGTAGAACGGATTACATATGCTTGGTGCAAAATGGAATTAATTTTTATTACGTACATACATAAACACACACATGCAATCATCAAGTTTTATTTACTCTTGATAACTCAACATAACTATGATACACTAATATACACTCCAAATCACGAAGAGACAATATTGTTTATTTAAAATGGAGGAGGACTTAGGTGCTCGTGGCAATCGGGCTAGCGAGGTTTCGTGGTGGCGTTCCGGGCTCCATCCCGGTGGAGTGAAAAATATGAGCTGAGTTTGTTCTTTGCACGCCCAGTTTCTGTCTGTAGCTGGCGAAGGAAAAGCTCAAGATGGCAAAGTAATGCTAAACTGCGGCTTGAAAGAAGCAACGGATTCCTGTTCCTTATCTTCTCTCAGGGGAAGAATAAGAATTAAAAAACGGAGGACTGGTCGAACCGAACTGACTCCAGCGTCCGGATTAGTTCAGCGAAATTCCAAATTACATCCAGACTTCATAATTGAATTATGTCAAATAATTGATTTTCGTAATAGACACTGATGTTTCCATAACATTTCAAAAATTGCGAAGACTTTGCATAGGGTGGTGTGGTTCAACACAAATAGTATAGGGTGAATGGCTGGTTTTTATATATATAATTTTACGAAAGAAAATAGAAAATTATTTGAAATATATTTATATTTTTAGGTCTTTGCGTGTGTAGTAGTAACAGACTTTTACACAGGTGTCATTAGGACGTATTCCCTTGCATTCCAGGAGAAGATACAGTCTCTGCACCCTGTGGTTGACGCGTAATCCTTTTGCTCTCACGTGTATAAAGCGGAGGTGAGTTTGGACTCATTTTTAATTCAGTTGCCTCGTTGCAATTCCGAAGATGAAATGAATAATACGCTACGGGCTCTTGCATATTTAAAAAGACAGTTTTCTTCCCCACAGAAGTACTTACGTGTTAAAGAGGCTGGCTCTATAAGAAAATTAGAACAATGAATAAATAAGAAAAGTTGTCTCTTAGAAGTGTGGGACTTGGTGCAGTAGAAAGATTGAAGGTTAGTTGCAATAGTATTGAGTGTTTTGTAGTGTGTGTAAAGCTGTGTAGTAGATATGTGTAGACTTTGGTTATTTCTTCAAAAATAAATAATATCTACTTATCAGATATTTTTATTGGGAAGCTAAAATAGGCTATAAAGACTGACAAAAAGTTAACACTTTCATATTATTTTTGCATAAACACTTGCGGGGGATTCAGCAGAAATGAGATTGTGCCAATTTGTCGCTCCAAGTTGATTTTTTCTTGTTAAAACAAAATAGAGAAGATATTTGTGGTATTCATCATTAGAAGATTTGAAATTGGGGTGGCTTTGATACTCCTATACCTTAAAAATAGTCCAGTTTTAATTATTTCAGTAAGTGCCGTGACGCAAAAACTAGTTGGCGATCGGGGATATCGATTTTGGTGTACTAGATTAGTCGCTAGCGCTGTTACTGACGGGGCTGACAACCATTCGCTCATCAACAATTCACGTGCTATCAATGATACGGTTCTGACTAGACATCGAAAAGTAATTTCTTCACATAATAACAGATTTATCCGCTCTCGATCCGAGGGCGCAAAAATATCGAGTCTTTTTGTCAAAGATTACTCATGATTTTGCCACTCTCTTTACTCGATATACTTTCTTCTTATGTTTCACAAGTACCGCTTTTTGATGGCCAGAGATTTGTTTAAGAGAAAACATCTTTTCTCGCCGCACTAGAGGCCACTCTATGCGAACGTGTGGCTTCTGGATGCCAGGCAGAAGTTAGAATAGTCAGAGTAGTATTAGGTAAAAACCAGCTAATGTCAGTTTGCTATATGAATAGCCGCTCAGTCGAATAATAGAAGTTCTTTTACTCAATAATCTACATAAAGGGATAACTGCTTTTAAGTCTCATCGTATTCCTTCATATAATCTACCACATGCACTATCCTATTAGCCCCAACAGAAAACGTATTACGGTTTCATATTGTTTGGATTTGCTTGTTGTTGTGACAGCGGTGTGAAAACTTTTACCTTTCTTTCGGATAATCTACGGATAAGCAGTTTCTGTAAGTAGCGATGAATGTCGCGCCACCTAGTCTTAGACCGACGTTCTCTTTTTTGGCCATTGGCGATGTGTATAGAGGTGTGTACTTCCGGAGCCCCTCTTCTTTTGGGCATGTGTTTCCCCTATTTTTAGTTTTTCTCCTTGTTGATAATCTCATGCTTTGTATGTGGGTTTGGTTCTGTGACAGTAGCGTTGTGCATTTTTATGGGCGTTTTCATAGTGTCCGTGTTGTTGGGAAATCTTAAAAACAACAAATGGATCAATATAAAAAGGAAGTGTTGATTAATTTGAATACATATTACAGGTTTGTGGTCAAATTTAAACATTTGATTTTCCTTTGGGTTTTTCCGCCTTGGTAGTGAAAGAGTTGAAATAAAATTATAGTGATCT